CATATACATATACATATACATCAAAAAAAAGTCTTAACTTTTTATGATAATTTTCTATCGCGATATATACCATTACTGTGAAGGGGTTCAATTTATACCGTGATATAAATTTGAGGTCATACTGCCCAGCCTTAACTGGAGGGGGGGGGGGAAAACTGAAATATGTAATAAATTAGGGGTTGCATTATATATGAGGATTCAATTTTTTTATGCTTTTTAGGCTGAAAAAATGGAGGGTGGCATTATTCTCTAATCAAATTCTACACACATAAATATGATATATCTTTATTATTCTATCAGATACACAAGAAATCAAAAAGATAGGCCTTAATTGATAATTATACAAGGCAAATTTGTGTCCAAATATTTGCCAAAATTGAGTTAAAATGTTTTTTTCCCAACTGTTGGTAAGCATTTTTGTGATTATGCAACCATTTTATATAAAAACTTTTTTTTTTCAGTAACAGACACTTAATTTTTTCTATGTTGGTAATATATTTCTTGTGTATTTAGGACCAATCTGTAACTTCTACAATAAAAGGTGAGTATAAAAGAGGTAGAACCTGCAGGGACTCGGCCGTCATGCTCTTCCGTTGCTGTGCAGACTTCTCCATGGCTTCGCTGAGAGATTTGGCGTAATGAATAATGGCTTTAAGCTGAGAGTCGGTCAGCACCCACAACAGGTCGTCCAGAATAAACAGCAGCTTGGACGCCAGCACGTTACAGTCCTTTACCTAAAGAAAAACCCACAATGTGACAAATCGCTAGTGATGCAGATGGCACAGGTGCACTCTTTACTCAGGTCTGGCTGACAGATCCGGGGCATGAAAAGCACAAATTTAACCGTACTCTCCGTTTTAGAGCGATGCGGATGCGACCCTGGTTGGTGATGAGACGTAGCGGTGTGCTGCTGAGGTCCTGGTCCTCGCTCTCTATGGCGTCTGCCTCGATTCGGAGAGTCTGCCAGGTGATTTCTTTGAAAGTCAACACCTGAAATAATAACAGCCGTATCAAACGTTAATCTTGTTTGTTCTATGTGGCGTGGCAAAGAGAGGCAACACATTTCCTATTAAGTTATCTAAGCCCTCACGCTGAGAGGTAGTTCATCTTGAAAACATCAGACTTAATTGAATTATTTGCCGCAGCTTCAGGGATGGAGCAGTATATTCTGGTGAACACGAACAGCCATCAGAGAGGAGGGTTTGTGAGCAAAGGGAAAAGAGAAATCAAAGCGAGCTGCAGAGCGCAGTACCTCTCCTCTCTTGGGGTCAGTGATGCGGGTGTAGCGGAGGTCACTGCGCTGCCACTTGGGGTTGAGGCTGTTGCCCTGCAGCTGCCAGAGCTCGAAGGAGGCGTGGAACGCGCGGGCCTGGACCTTGATGGTAATGGAGTTGATCCTGACCGACATTCCCTCCACCACTTTCTCAGCAAAGCCATACTCGCTGAAACACCACAAGTTGCTCAGGGTTCGACAACTCGTTTATCGTTATTAATTCGTCCTAACGTGGGATTTTTGACGGCTCACCTCTGACTCGCTGTTATAGCAATGGGAGAGGGGCCGTTGGGTGGGCGTGGCTCCTCGCATGTCCTCATCTCAACCTCTACCTTATCCAAGAACTACACACACACAAAACGCAACAGAGGCATACAAATGAGCAGGTGAGAATAAAAAACTAGTCTAATATTGACTAATGATAACAGCATTAAAAAAATGTAACCTATGCAATCTACAAATAAGCTAGAGCCATGGCAGATTTAATTATTATTTCTTTCTAAGATAAGAGGAAATTTAACTCCAGCAGCATTATGCTCACCAGGCAGATGGGGCTTGTTTTCAGCTTTGTCCATTGTATCTGAAAAGACAAAAGAATTCAACAGCGTCACTCTCAGACCTACGGTGATCTGCACCACTGAGCACAGAGGCACAGCAGGCAGCAGGCTCCACACGGCGGGGTGGAGCGGGGTCCAAGTTCATGTTTTCCAGCTAAAAATAATGTGTCAAAACGTACCAGACAGAGACGTTTTGAACTGAGAAAACCTGCTCTGATGTGATTCGTGGATATTATGGCTGCTGTGGTGGACAGTGAGGGTCATGTGAGTCTCAGGTAAAACAGATAAAGTGTTTACTTGTTTTAGCCATCAACTGAATTCAAACTTTATCCACGCACGTCCCCCGCGTCATATAGATTTAAACAGTGAATGACTGTAGCTTTTGACTGGAGTCAAACAGGAAACACAAAGCTTTATGTTTTTGGTGCAAGACACACAAGTGGGAGTTAAACTGTGTAAGAACAGAGGCACATTTTTTCCCCCTTGACTGAGGTGGCACAGAGTGAAGGATCTTGGCATGTGGAGGGAACATTTTCATCCACCACCAGGTGCAACTGTGGAGTCAGGGGATGGCCAGTGGTGGCCTTGCCCACCACCTCACCATCCACACCAAATTATCTGAGGAAGCTATGATTTAAGGAAACATAAAAACTAGAAAGCGTGGTTTCCTCAAACGATCAGGGTGACCAGCTTTCACAAATACATATACAGTATATATATGTGGCGGCCATCTTGGATTTCAATGTAGCAGCTCAGTTTTCATTATTGACCTTTTTTACGCCTAGATGCAGCCACACACCAAAATGGAAAATCGACAGTTGCTTATTTTTGACCCAATCATTTGAGTAAAGAATGTTTTTAAGTAATATATAGTGGGGAAAATAAGTATTTAGTCAGTCACCAATTGTGCAAGTTCTCCCACTTAAAAAGATGAGAGAGGCCTGTAATTGACATCATAGGTAGACCTCAACTATGAGAGACAAAATGTGAAAAAAAAATTGAGGAAATCATTTTGACTGACTTTTAAAGATTTTTTTTTTTGCAAATAATTGTAACGGCTAGGAGGCAGGGTGAACCCAATTGCAGGCAGACAGGCAGGCTAGAAAGTTTGATAAAAAAAATTATTAAATAAAAAGCCA